TGGGATTGAGTCCCACATCGGGTTCTCTGCTTGGTGGGGAGCCTGCTTCCCTCTCTCTCTCTGCCAAATAAATAAATAAAATCTTAAAAAAAAAAAAGACAAATAAAAGTGTTGGTGAGGATGTGGAGAAAAGGGAACCCTGTGCTCTGTTAGTGGGAATGTAAATTGGTGTGGCCACTGTGGAAAACAGTACAGAAGTTCGTCAAGAAGTTTAAAGTATAAATACCAGGTAATCCAGCAATTCTACTTCTGGGTATTTAACCAAAGGGAGAAAACCCCACTAAATCAAGAAGTTACATGCACCCCTATGTTCATTTCAATATTATTTACAGTAGTGAAGAAATGGAAACAACTTCTGTGTCCAACAATAGATGAATGGATAAAGAAAATGTGGTATGCATATATAGTAGAATATTTCTCAGCCATAAAAAAATCTGTGGCAAAATGGATGGACTTAGACGATACTATGTTAACTGAAAGAAATCAGAATACATTTATCATGATGATCATTTCCTTATATAAATGTTGAATAACTATGCTGTACACATCAACTACACTTCAATTAAAAGAAAATAATCATCAGTAACTATGCACTCCTGGGGAAGTCTTCACATATTCACAGCAAATCCACATTCACATCTGTAAATCCTCAAAAAACTCATGAAGGGGTAGAACAGTATATACAGAATGTTTATAGCAGCATGATGCTTTTTCAAAATTTTTTTTATTGTGGTAAAATATAAGTAACATAAAATTTGCCATCTTAACCATTTTTAAGTGTACAGTTCAGTTTAAAGTGTACAGTTTAGTTTTAAGTGTACAGTTCAGTGGTCTTAAAGTCATTCATAGTGTTGTACAACCATAACCAGAATCCATCTCCATCTCTCCATCTTGCAGAACTAAAATGCTATACTCCCCTTTCCCCTGCCCCCGCCCCCGCAACCACCATTTTAGCAATCACCATTTTACTTTCTGTAGAGTCACACACTATTCATCCTTTTGTGACTGGCTTATTATAGCAGCATGTTTTCTTAAAAATTATTATTACTCTGATCTGAAAATGAAAAACAAAAACAACAAATCTTGAGATACAATCAGTATTTAGCCTATAGTGAGCCCTTTGATTAATGTGAGACAAAGGATTTTTAGTTTGTGTTCAGTTTGTTTCCTGCTTCTTGTTCTTTTCTGTCTCTTTTCTGGCCTTCTCATGGGTTACTCAGACATTTTCAGAATTCCATCTTGATTTATGTAATGTTTTAGAGTATATCACTTTGTATAGTTTTTTTGGCAGTTGCTCTAGATAGAACAGTATGCATACATGAACTAGCAGTCAGCCAAGTGCAGAAACCCTACTTCCATTTATGACCCTTTTCTTCCCCACCTTTAAAGTATAATTGTCTTAACTATTCCCACTATATATATGGAGAACATCAAATGGTGTTATTTTTGTTTCAACCATCATGTCTGATTTAAGACACTTAGAAGTAGGATAGTATAATATTCCTATTTTTCCCATTCTCGTGTTCTTTTCTTTCAATAGTTTCAAGCCTTTGTTGTTATCATTAACTTTGTTTAGAGGATTTCTTTTAGTTATTCCTGAAGTATTTTAGTTTTTCCTTAGTTATCTTTTGAAAGCATCTTTATTTCCCTTTTATTCCTGAATATGTTCACTAGATAGAGAATTCATTGCTGATAGTACCTTTCATTGCACTTGAGAAAAATATGCAACTTCTCTGGTTTCCATAGTTCAGATCCGGGCAGGAGGGTGGTCTCTCCACGGATATTTGATTGAAGGAAGGTGGGAATTACCAAAAAAGTTTTCTGTTTGGCCACACTTTTCCTGGTTTTGACTAAGGGGAACAGGCTTAGAGTTTTTTTGGTCTGTGTCTGTTGGAGGTTCTCACATGGAAGCTTCTAGAACACATTAGCTGAAAGATACGGGAGGTGAGAAGGAGAAGGGAATTTACTACCATGTTGCTCCTCAGCCCTGAAGTTCCTCAAAGTTTGCCTTCTTCTTTTCACATCTCAGAGTCTTCTTCTTTTTTTATTTTTAAAGATTTTATTTATTTATTTGACAGAGAGATCACAACTAGGCAGAGAGGCAGACAGAGAGAGGGAGGGAAGCAGGCTCCCCTCTGAGCAGAGAGCCCGATGTGGGGCTCAATCCCAGGACCCTGAGATCATGACCTGAGCTGAAGGCAGAGGCTTAACCCACTGAGCCACCCAGGTGCCCCTCACATTTCGGAGTCTTCTTATGTTTGTTTATTTATGCCCAGGGATTTTAGTTGTAAGAGGGATGGCGTAGGAGGAATAGTGGTCATCTGTTCTAGCTCAAAACCCCTAATACAGAGTTTTTCCCAATATTTTATTATGAAAAATTTTAAGCACAAAGAAAACTGAAAGAATTTTACAGTCAACACCCATAAACCATCACCTAGATCTACTATTAATATGAAAAGGGGTCTACTTCTCAACTTGAGTGGATATTTTCAGGGATTTTCTCTTTGTAATGATGTTATTATTGGATTATAGTTCTAACTGCCTTTCTGTGTATTTCACATTTTGAAAAGTATGAAAAATATGACCTTATTTTTGTTTCATACACACAACTGTGTGTAAGCACACACAATAGTATATATGAATAGATGTAATCAGTGTTTATTACTATTTCTTCATTTCACATACTGTACATAAATTTCTTATAATTTTCACAATCAGGTAAACAACAAAGCACTTTACAAAAATTATGCATATGCAATATTTAAAAATGACCAAAATTTTGAACATTTCAATAAAGTACATATACAGGCAGTTTATATCAGAAAATATCTAAATGGCTCAATAAATATGAGATCATATTTAATTTCACAAGTACTCAAAATTAGATATAAAAAACTTGCCCCCTTGAATAAATAAAAACTTAAAGAAAAAGTATTAAAAACAAAACAAAAACCCCAGAGTAAGCATGGGTCTTAGACATAGCACATATCATCACCAACTGCTATGGAAATAAAAATTATAAAAGCTTCCAGGAAGGCAAATAGGCAACGGGCTCAGAATGCCACCAGTCCTTGATAAAGTCATTCAATTCAAGAAATTTAACTAAGAAAATAATCTTCAAAGATGTAGGTACAAGAATATTAATGGAGCAAAAGCTTGGAAATAACATAACTAACAAGAAACGTTAAATAAGCTTAATTTAGCTAAATATATTTAACCAGATATAAAGTATATATATAATACACATTAAATAAGCTTAATTTAAAGATATAGTTAAATAAGCTTTAATTAAATTAAGCCTACTTAACTATTTTATTTATTTAGCTTATTTAACTATTAGCTTATTTAAATATTTAACTACCAGCTTATTTAATTATTTTAGTTAAATATGTTGGGTCCATAATCAAAGGAGCGAGACTGATAAAAAGCAAAGGTCAAGCAAAGCTTTATTTCGCACCAAGCATCTAGAATCAAACTGACAGGTCAGGGCCGTCTCTTGCAAAGAGGCGAACCCTCCCTGCCTCACAGACTAACTTTTATAGAGGTATTTTAGCTGGGCTATACACAGGTGCCCAATGAGATTGCAATACACGGAGAAAACTGCAGAGTCATGCTAGGTCTGCTATACACAGAAAAAACTGCTAGGTAACACACGCGTGGCCAATTGAATTTCAATTTACCCTAGTGGATATATGTGCGCTCCACTGATTGGATGTCTTCACCGGGCCTGGCCGGTCCTTGTATCTAGGCTTTGCAAGTAAGTTCCTCTGGGAGGGGTGGGGTCAATCTAAGTTCACTGCATAAACACAAAATGACTCCCTCTGGCTAACCAGGCCCTTACAAAATACATTTAAAAAATTTAATTTGCCATAATGGAAGGCACTGAAGCCATTCAAAACATTCCTCAGGGAGAGTTATTTACTGGCAAATTCAAATGTCCAAGGTACATTCCTATGTGGGGTAAAAAACCAAAGTAGGTTACAATTGCTATCTGCAAGGTTCCATTTTGCTAAAAGCAGGTCGGCAGCAAATGTTCACCAAAACGTTAACCACTTTTGGGCGGTGGCACTGGGTACATTTTTCTTTCCTTTTTGTTGTTGTTGTTTGTTTTTTCCCTATTTATAAAATTTCCCCAATGGGACACGCTCCCATTAGGAAGAAAAGAGAACCATTGGCTTCTCCGCCCCCGGAAAGCCCCCCCCCCCCCCCCCGCTGCCCCCAGGGAACCCCACTCACTCTTCTGACCAGGCCCAGATGCTACCACCCTGCTTTCCTTTGTTTCTCCCCATAACGCTTATCTTCTAAAATGTCACAGAATTACGTCATGGCTTACTGTGTGCTTCCTACCAACTCCGCCCAAAAAGTACTTGAAAGCAACGACCTTTGTTTGGTTCACTGATTCCCAACCACTTACGGCAGCCCTTGCCACAAGAAGGTGCTCGAAACACGTTGGCTGAATGACCGAAGGGGAAATAGGTTTGTTCTCGGCGATTGTCTAATTGCCTTACTGTCATTGTGCCGTCGTACAGCTACAATACACGGCCCTCGGCGAATCGTTTCCTTCACAGGAGTTCGAAGCCAGAGCCCTCGCCGCCCAAGCGGTGGGACCACAAGCCCGGAAGCGGGAACTCGGCACGTGACAGGCTCCCCCCTCCCAGCCACGCAAACCAGAGAGGAGAACTACACTTCCCAGAATGCGTAGGTCCTCGCCTAGACTACATTCCCCAGGGGCTTTAGCGGCCGTCCCTAACTCGCCCCCTGCCCCGCCTCTCTGGACAGCCGGCTTTTGCAGCCCACGGCTCCCCGGCCTGAGTTCAGCCCAGTGAGGTTAGAGACCCGGAGAAGGGGTCCCGACCCCGGGCTGCTGTCCATCCGGGCGGTGCCGGAGCCTCCGCCTGCGGAGCACGGCCGGGAGGCGCAGACCCCGGAACCCCGAGGCCTGGGGAAGGTGAGCGGCGGAAGGTCGGGGGAATGCGGGACAGAGGGAGGACCCCGGCCTTGGGAGGATCCCGCGCCGGGGCGGGGGGCGCGCGAGCGGGCCCTTTGTAGGCTCACGCAATGGGGGCCAAGGGCTGGCACCACCGCACTAGCCGACCCGCGGACGTGCCCATGACCGCGGCAGGTCGGGCACTTGTCCCCACCTGTCCAGGCCCCGGTCACCCCCCAACTTCCTCCGGACCCGTGCCCGGTGCTCCACCTGCCGGGCCCTGCCGGCGTTTGGATTTGCTCCCGGCTGTCAGTGAACGTGAGGAACTGTTTCCAACCCTCCCCGGCGCCACTGCCTTCCCGGGCTGCAGGCGCAGAGATGTGTTTTCCGATAGTAATGAGTTGCCGGCTCCCCCCTCCCCCCACGGCAGAATTTGGACTGGAACCCAGGATTTTGGTCTCTGTGACTGCTCCTCCAGCCGGCAGCCCTCCGGCCGCCATCGGAAAACTGCTGTCATACGTTTCCCAAGCACTTTTCCCTAAAAACCTGGAAGGAGATTCCTTGACAGGAGGGGGAGGAGTTGGGGGCGGGTGCAGCTTGAGGTTGGGAAAAGTTGTCCCCTGCGGGCAGTAAGGTTAGAGCCGGTGCTGTGGAGGCGCGCGGTACGGATCCCGGTGCACCCTCACTGGCTGTGTGCACTGGGGCAAGTGGCTCCCACTCTGCCCTCAGTTTCCTGATCTGTAATAAAATAGGCGTGGACAATAGTAGCTATGCTGCGGGACTGAACGATGTGAGCCGCGCCTGGCCCCTGGGGCAGGTTCAGTGAGTTGTTGCTGCTACTGAAGCTGGAGTCCTAGTCTTTTTTCTCGGAGCCACAGGGGGAAGAGTTGGGTCCCGGCCCATTGTGGGCTGGCCCTTGTCTCTGGGCCTGTCCAGCTCCAGCTCCTTCTGACTTCCCTCTCGGAGGGCACGTGGCCTCAGTTCTCACGTGGTGGAAGGATTTCAGAGCTGGTGATTCTCAGGGGTGGAAAGCAGAAGGGGCTTCTCTGTCCTGGCTCCCTTTTTCCTCTTTCAGATTTGCCTTCTGGAGACTCCACCCACCCTCAGGGAAGAGCCCAGAAAGAAGATATGGCTATTGGATGGAGGGAAGCAAGGTCTCATGTGAGTTCATTGACATCTTTGGTCTTAGAAACAGATATATGTATAGATATCTATTATATCTATATCGCTATATAAATACAGATATAGATATAACAGGTATATATATATCTAGATATATATCTAGATATATAGATATCTATATTTATATATACCTGTTATATCTCTATAAATTTTATATCTATATATATTTTAATTCTCAAACTGAAGTCCTCTGCTGCATGCAGTCTTCTGAAGGACCTGGAGCCCAAGCCCTTTCCTCCTTCAAGAGTCGATCCACCCAGGGGGAGGGTGGATTCTGTAGGGAATGTTTGCCTCCTCCCTGCTAATCCATGTCTAGTGTTTCTCTTTTCTTTTCCTAACAGACACTTCTTTTTTTTTTTGTTTTTTTTTTTTTAAGATTTTTTTTTTTTATTTTACAGAGATCACAAGTAGGCAGAAAGGCAGGTGGGGGCGGGGGAGCAGGTTCCCCGCCAAGCAGAGAGCCCGATGAGGGGTTTGATCCCAGGACCCTGAGATCATGACCTGAGCCGAAGGCAGAGGCTTTAACCCACTGAGCCACCCAGGCGCCCCCAGACACTTCTTTTTATTCATTAATCTCAATTCAGTGTATGATTACTATCTTGATAGGTGAGATGCCACGTGGGGACAGAACACACACACACACACACACACACACACACACACACACTTGGCAGTTCCTTTCTGGCCCTGCTTCCTTGGCTCACCCTGGTCTCCCTCCCTATCCTTGGTATTTTTTAAGGATAACCTCCCTAGACTTCTCCAACCCATCATTGTCTGTTTTTTCCTCACTCTTTGTGGATCATGTGCCTTGTTTCTGTACTCTTCTTGAAAACTGTTCTGGATCTGCTATTTTCATTCTTCCCTTGTTGGAAACAGGAGAGGGACCCGGTCCAGGTGAGCCAGTGCCTGACCAAAGAATAGCTGTGTTGGAGGGGACACAGCTGGAGAGATCTCTGGACTCCAAGGGCAGAGAGAAGACTCCCCAGGAGGGAGCAGGGAGGGGTGTACAGGATATCAGGAGTGGAGAGGCAGGGTCTCCAGTGGGTAGGAAGCGGGGCTTGAAGCCAGACTGCCGGGCTTGAACCCATCTCCTTGGTTACTGTTTGTGGGCCCTGGACAGATGCGCCCGTTTCCTCGCCTGGACAATGGGAATAACAAACATGCCGACCTCATGGGGCAGGTGAGAGGGTCACGCAAGTCAGTGCATGGGAAGTGTTTGGATCAGGGCTGGGCACTAGCAGACGCCCAACAAGGGGTGGTCGTGGGAGCCGGATGGTGTTACTGAAGCGCTGACACTACTCATGCCGACAGATGGGACCGTGGTGCTGGCACTTGTCCTTTCACTGCTCATCTGCATCTGACAGTCACAGTGTTGGGGGTCTGCCTGCGGGCGTGGCCTTTGTTTTCATGCTCACGCGGGCGCAGCAGTGATCATCCCCATGTTTCACACTAGCAAACTTGAGGCTCAGAAACGTCCAGTAACCTGAATTCAGACCCCAGTGTGTCTGGCCTCTGGGTCCAGGCTCATCACTGTGTAGCCATTCCCCTGGTGCCTCTTTCGGATCCCAGGGCAGCCCCAAACCCCGTGTTCCCAGAGCTTTTCTCCACTGTTGTGTTGATCTGGGGCCCAGGAAACATGGTGGTGGTTGGTCCCGGGCTGGGACTGGCTGGTGCATATTTCTAAAGCTTTCCCCTCTAGTTCCCACAGACTGACCTTGCTCTCTTGCCCAGAATCTTCTCCATCCCTGCAGGGGAGTGAATGCATGTGGCATTCTCCCTAACCTCACCTGCTCCCATGTGCCCCTACTGCATGGGCTTGCGGGTAAAGCCCAGCAACAGGCGTTTAAGACCAGAGAGAGAATGTACCAAGTGCTGGCTTAACAGAAGACTTTAATTATTGTCCTGCCTCTGCCGCTGGTAAAGTAGGTGGCCTGTGGTCTTGACTGTCCTGGACCAGATTCTGGTCCTTATCTCTAAAATGAGGATAGATCTGGGAGATGGTATATAGTCCCGCCCAGGTACACATTCTTCTTTCATTGATCCAATGTGTTTATCTTGTCTGCCAGCTGGACTGTAAATTCTTTGAGAGCAAAAATTATTTCTCATATTCCTCCCTAATATGTAAATAATTCAATGTTTTTCTTGCCATAAAGATATTGTATAATCATGGTAAACATTGTAGAGAATAAAATATGCACATATGTGTGCATAGATGTATAGATATGTGTGTGTGTGTTTAGAGTTGACCCCTGAGCAACACAGGTTTGAACTGGGCAGGTCCAGTTACCCATGGATTTTTTTCGATCAATACAGTAGAGTACTGTAAATGTATTTCTCTTATGCTTTTTTTTTTTGGTTTATTGTTTCAGAGAGAGATTGCGCAAGTAGATGAGTGGAGACAGAGAAGAGAGATAGAATCTCAAGGGGATTCTGTACTGAGCACAGAGCATGACTCTGAGAGCATGACCTGAGCGGAAATCAAGAGTCAGAGACTTAACCAACTGAGCTACCAAGCACCCCTTATGATTTTCTCAATAACGTTTTCTTTTCTCTAGCTTATTTTAGTGTAAGAAAATAGTATATAATACATATAACATGCAGAATATGTGTTTATCGACTGTTTATTTTATCGGGAAGTCTTCCAGTCCACAGTAGGCTATTAGTAGTTACGTTTTGGGGGAGTCCAAAATTATATGTAGATTTTCGACTGCATATGAAGTCAGGGCCCTTAACCCCCTCCTTGTTCAAGGGTCATCTGTATATATTTTTTTCATATATTCTAAAGAAAGTAGAATCACCCTTAACCCCACCAACTGGAGATAATCACTGTCAATCATTTGTTGTGTATCTCTCAGCATCATTCATATATATATATATAATTTTTATCAGAAATGAGTACAAACTATACACTGATATATAACAAATATAAATATTTGTATTTAACATGATCATGGGTGTCTTTTTAACAGATATTGACCTAACCATCAGTTGCACTGGTTGCATAGTATTTTATATTGATGTGACAATAGCTAACATCTGAAGCTTTGGTACATGGTATAATTACATGGTATGGATTATCTCATTTATTTAATAGCTCTATGCGATAGGTTGTGGGAGGCATTTTTGCAGTTAAGAATGGAGACTTGGACATGTCCCTGCACTGGAATCCCAGGTCTCCCACTGACTAGCTGTGAGACTTCAGGCAAATTTATCCTCTCCGTGGCTGTTTTCCGTCATGTAAATGGAGACAGTGATAATATCTTCTCTTAGGGTTGTTGTGACTTTTAGATACAGATTATATTAAAGATTAATAGGTAACTGAATTAGAAAAAAGAAAGATCAATAGGAAGCTCTAGGGATTGTACCTGGCCCGTGTAGAGCATTCGGGAGAAGAGAGAGATTTCAGTTTCCATTATTTCTGTCCTCCAGCTTCAGTGAGCACTCAGTGCCTACTGTTAGTGACCCTGCCCTTCATCATCTGTGATGACCTAGCTTGTTTCTCATTTTTTTGTATTACTAAAACCATGATAAATGCTCTATGTGCACTTTTGTGTACTGCTCATTATAGTAGAAATATAATAATTGGTGAGTTAAAGAATAAACATATTTTAAAGTTTTAATATGTATTATCAAATCCCCATCAGCAAGATTATTCTAATTAACACTCCAGTAGTCTTGATTCCTCCCTGCATCTCCTTATACTGGTTAACACAGGGCCTGGTAAGACTTTATGCTGCTCAGTATGTATTTGTCACTGGCCAATGGTTCATTGAACAAGAAATAACCTGAAACCTTAAGAAACCAGAATGACATCAGAAGCCTTTCATGGCAGCCCATCCTCCTCCCAACTGCCACCACCTTTACCCTGTGCGATGGGAAGTCCTGGGTGAGCTGGGATGGCTTGTCATTACAGGTGTCGGTGACCTTCGAGGATGTGGCTGTGCTCTTTACACGGGATGAGTGGAGGAAGCTGGGTCCTTCTCAGAGAAACGTGTACCAGGAAGTGATGCTGGAGAACTACAGTAACCTGGTCTCACTGGGTAAGGGAATTTTCCCTGTAGATGAAAAAGTCAGACAGTAGCATAAGTCAGCACCTGCTTCCCTGCATAAAAGCTGTGGGGCATCAGGAACTTTCAGCTGAATTTGGCCTTGGGGTTGTGCACATTGTAAATAAATATTTAAAGTTTCTTTCCCACTATAGGCATGGATTTGTCCCACACGTGGGACAGCTGACATACTTGTATGTTAGAAATTCCCTCATAGTTAGGCAACATTTCCTGCTGTGATTTTCTGTGATTTGTTTGCTCAGCTCACAGCAGAAAGCATTGCTCAACCGTCTTCATTACCCTGCCGCCAGCCTTTCCCAATTCTCCCTTCCAGCCTGACAAATGTGTATAATCCATCTTTGAAAGGGAGTCAGATCGTGCTTTCTCATTTTAAACAGGGCACTTGGTGTGGGTACCTGTTTACAAACATTTAGTCTGCAAATCTAACATATTTCCTCTTCTGTGGCAAGCTGTGGGTACTCTAGAGCTGCTTGTGTATCTGGCAGCGTCTCTAACCTGCAGCTGCTTCCCACACAGCCACGCCCTACAGGCCCCTTGCCTTTCCCCTCAGACACGCCCTCACGTCCCCCGGGGGCACGGTTGGAGCACCCCACCGGAGCTCTTTGTACCATCCCCTGAGTTTTCCATTCAGATCCATGATGCATCTTTGAGTCAAAAGAAAACCAAGTCTTACCTTTCTCTTTTATTTTTTCCTGTTTCTGAGCAGGACTCCTGTTCTCCAAACCAAGAGTGATCTCCCTGTTGCAGGAAGGAGAAGATCCCTGGAAGGTAGAGAAAGAAAGTCCTGGAGGCCCCTCTCTAGGTGAGTGGGTAGGACCAAGTGGCGGGAGATGGGCGCGGGCAGCAGTCTTGCGGTAAGTGGACGGTGCGGCTTGGAGATGTTGGTCAGGAAGGTTTCTCCGGGGCCTCTGTCCTGGAGAAGTGACAGAGAGGGGACACTCAGGCCCCAGACACGAGCTTTCTCTTACTCTCTGGTAATCACTTCCCAAATGAATCTCTCAGGAGCTCTTCTTATTCGTCCCTGTTTTCAGAGGAGGGCTGCACATCGCGGATTCAGTCAGCAAACAGTGTATTTAAGGAATGGCAGAGAATCAGTCTGACCGAGGATCAGGGTTATGTGAGAGAAGGAGCCGAGGAAGGAAAGGGTGTCAGAAAGCTAGCAAAGCCGCATTACACTGGGCTTTGACAAGAGTCTCGGCCATGGGACCGTCCCATGGAAATGAAAGATTTTCAGCAGAAGACTGGAGTTCTGGGTATTTTAGAAAAATTGGCTTAAATGTGGAACAGTGTAAATGTCCTCTGGTAAGGACATGGCTGGAGAAGTTGGAGCAAGTCACTGCTCTGGCATCGAGGGCCACTGTCGGAGACAAGAGCAGCTGGTGTGGACAGAGCTGGCGTGGTGCAGGGGGCAGCTACTGCTGTGTCACTGTTGATGCTGAAAGGCGATGACGTGGCTGTATGTGCATGTGTAATGTGTGCGGAAGTGCAGACAGAAAGGCTGGGGAGACACACCTGAGCTGGTGCCAGGAGCTCCACGTGGAATGGGACCGAGAAGGGGCAGGATGAAAGAGGGCTTTGGTTGTATGTAATCTTAACATTTCAAAGAGAATAGATTGATGAAATCCTTATGTAATTTGAGTTTAATAAGAATGGTCACTTTGAAGCATGGTGGGTGATAGATTGAAAGTGAGGGAAAAGCTGATGGGGAATCTTCCTGGAGACACTAGTAGTAAGGTAGGTGAGATGTTTCTAGGGTGGGACAAAGGCATGGGCACTGGAGTCCAGAGGGAGGGAGAGGGGTCCCTTTGTTAAGGGTGTAGGGTGAGTTTGCTGTGGGGTGGGTCTCACTGGGGAGTGAGTGGAATGCCTGGGGAGAGATGCTGGTGGACAGCTGTACGAGGTCTACGGGAGCTCTGAAGGCAGGTCAGGGAGCCCTCGGTACAAAGGTGGCATTTGATGCCTCGAGCTGACCAGGCAAGGGCACAGAGCAGAGGACAGAATCCCAGGAAACCTCACCATTTACAAGGTGGGTTAGGAAAGAAGACTCTGGCTGAGCCTGAGAAGTCATCAGAAGAGAAAAACGGGAGAGGCAACTGACAGGGAAGCTGGGGACAGAGAGCTGATGAGTGCGGGAGCATCCAGGTTTGAGTCCCCATCCCCTACTTTCCTGTCCCCTAATGGACGGTGCGTGAGCTCTGTGCTGGGCACTGGCCATGTGACACTGGACAGAAAGACGCAGGTTCTGCTGGCTGGAGGTCACGGTTGGGTGGGGAGACAGGTGATGGTGCACTGAGCGCACACAGGGTGTCGAATGACCCCACAGGATGGCTGCAGAGTGTGTGAGTGTGCGCAGCAGAAGGGGCGGTGTGGGCAGAGGCTTCCAGAGGAGGTGGGATCCGAGGATGTGGAGCCGGGTCCAGCCACAGGAAAGGTCCACCTGATTCCAGAGAAAGGAAGCCAGTGGGTGCTGCTGGGAGCCAGGAGGGCACTGCGGGGACCAGCGGGGGGAGCCTGGACACAGGATCTGGTCTGTGTCTGACAGCCAGGCTGGGAGCCTGGGGACTGGGAAGTAGTCTGACCAGGGCCCCAGGCGTACACTGCTGAGAGCAGCCTGCAGGCCGTGGGGGGCCTGTTGGCGTGGAAGTGAGGGCTGCTCCCCGCTACTGTCGGGTCCAGATGCGTCAGTGATGGCCTCTCATTCCGTGGGCCCCGCACAGGAGCTGCAGGCCGGGTGCTCTCCCTCCCCAAGCCCCCAGGCCAAGGGAGCCTTCTTCCCACCATACTCTGAGGTTTCTGCTGTGGGAACCACCTGTGTGTCTGTCTATCTTACTCTGGTTTGGGAGAAAGACACAAGGTCTGGGAAGCGGGTAGAGGCCGCCATCAAGTGCCCAGAGCAGGCAGGAGTCCGTGAATCAGCCGAGGCTCGGCAGGGCGGCGTCTGGGCCGAGTCTGGCAGGAAAGATCTGAGGAAGAGAAGGAAGGCTCCGTCCCTTTCCCTGCACCTCCGGAGCCTCCCATCCAGGAATGCATCTCTCTGAGTGAAGCGAGTCGTCGGTGGGTTCCGGGGAGTAAAAGTGTGACCAGAGTCTGGAGTCTGGAGCTGTGCTGAGAGGCGCTGGGCCCCTGGGGAATGGGGCGGAGTCCTCAGCAGCCTCCTCCTCGGCATCGGGGACATGTCCCTGAGGGTGGACCACGGGCGGACGCCGGGAGGAAGAACAGCACAGCCGACCGGTAAGTGCACATCCCTGGACAGGATGCACCTTCTCTCCTGCAGAGATGGCAGTCACCCCGGGAGTGCGTGCGTGTGTCTGTCTGTCCGTCCAGCACCCCTGGCGAGTCTCCATCTGCCCGGACTAATGCGGCCTCAGAATGGCTTCCCTCCGGAGTGCAGCTGGCTTCACCCTAAGCGCCGGTGAAGGACGGGGTGTTCTGGAAGTAGCTCAGGTGGTTAACTCTGGACCAGACCGGAAACCTGCCCCTCCCGCAACCGGTGACGGAAAAGCCCGTGCTCAGGGCACCTCTAGCGGCCTCCCAATGTGCTCCCCCCCCCGCCCGCCTTTTTAAAAAACATTTCAAAACTATTCGCAAATAGGAAAAACAGAAAAACAAAGGGTCGTGGGGGGATGTTTGAAGTGAGAGGTGGAAGGTGCTGGCAGGAGGGGTGTGCCTCTCCTCTGAGTCTCTTGCTGAGAAGGGAGCACACCTGCGGGGGGGGGGGGAGTTGTAATGAGGCGATTAAACCAGCCGGTACATCGTGAGTTAGCTCTAAGCCTGAATGTGGAAATAGTCCTGAAATCTAAAATTTAAAAATGCAGGTATGATCTGGGTAAACAGTTACCTTCCAGTGAAAATGTGCTTTCCTTGCCTGTCACTTTCTCCTTCTTTGTCATCTCAGCGCAAGAAGCCTGGTGGGGGGACTGAACCCCCGACGGGTGGTCAGCAGAGGGGTCCCTGGGGGCTGCCCCCACACAGAGGGTGGGGCCTCTTTTTCTAACTCGCACAAAGGTGCTGCCCTTAGCAGCCCAGCGACCCAGCAGGCCGGGGGTTTAAAGAATGAATCTCGGAGGAGGTGAAAGCGGAGAGCGGGTACTCATAGGCGCCTCTACTGTGTTTGGTCAATCTTGTCCTTGTCCCCTGCCCCCTCTCCCCAGCAGTACCCTTGCTGGCCCTGCACCTCCCTCCTGCCACCAACCTCTGTTCCCACAGCTGCAAGAATGCTCTATTAAAAGGTAAATCAGGCCACCTCACTTCCCTTCAGAAAACCTCTCCCGGCTTCCTTCTTGATGTTTACATTTCAAAGAGATGGCTCCCAGGAGCTTAAGAAAAACATCCTTGGTGGGGGCCTGGGTAGCTTAGTTGGTTAAGCAGTTAACCATCTGACTCTTGATCTCAGCCAAGGTCTGGCCCTCTGGGTTGTGAGTTCAAGCCCCACATTGGGCTCTGCACCCGGTGGAGCCTGCTTAACAACCAAGAACATCCTTAGGTTATAATGTTCCCGGAGGCTTATAGTGTTCACAGGTTTATATACATTTCATATCAAAAGCACAGAGGAAGGATTTAGAAATGCAAATTTTCTCAAAGAAATGCTTTGAGGAAAAGGTACAGAGCCCTCTTTCCCTTTGGAGCTCCCACCACAGAATTTTCCAGAGCAACTGTACTTTCACCTTCCTACCTGCTATGCAGGCATGGAGGTTCCAATTTATCTAGTGTTGCCAAACTTCTTATTGTCCCCTCATAATTTTTTATTATGGTAAAACACAAGAAACATAAAATTTGCCATTTTGACTGTTGTTAAGTGTACAATTTAGTGGCATTCAGCTCATTCCCAAGGCCGTGCAACCATCCCCACCATCCAGGTGCCAGAAGTCCTCTCTAATCCCTTCCTGAAACTCTCTTCCCACTAAACACTAATTCTCCACCCACCTGTCTCCAGGCCCCTGCTAATCGCTGTTCTCTGTCTCTGTGTTTGACTCTCCTAGGAACCTCATAGAATTGGAATCTTATAGGGGTGCCTGGGTGGCTCAGTGGGTTAAAGCCTCTGCCTTTGGCTTGGGTCATGATCTCAGGATCCTGGGATTGAGCCCCATGTTGGCTCTCTGTTCAGCAGGGAGCCTGCTTCCCTCTCTCTCTCTGCCTGCCTCTCTCCCTACTTGTGATCTCTGTCAAATAAATAAGTAAAATCTTAAAAAAAAAAAAGAATTGGAATCTTAGAACACTTGTCATTTTGTGGCTGGCTTATTTCATTCCACATCGTGTCTTCAGGGTTCATCTACATTGTACATCTGTCAGAATTCCATTGCCTTAGGGCTGAACAGTATTCCATTACATGTCTGTGCCACACATGGTCTATCATTTGGTCTGGATATTTGGATGATTTCCATCTTCTGGATCTTGTGAATAATGCTACTCCGAACGTGGGTGTACAAATACCTCTTTGGGTCCCTGCTTTTGGTTCTTTTGGGTACATTGGAGTGGAACTGCTGGATCACTTGGTAATTCTCTACTTAACTTTCTGAGGAACTACTATTTCCATTGTGGCCACATTAGTTTACATTCTCACCAGCAATGGAGCGGGGTTTCAAAGTCTCTTGCCAGTATTTGTTATTTTCTGGTTTCTTTTGTTTCTGTTATCCATAGCCATACTCATGGATTTAAAGTGGTATCTGGTGGTTTTTGATTTATATTTCCCTACTGATTAATGATGTTGAATGGTCTTTTCATGTGCTTATTGGCCACTGATATATCTCCTATAGGCAACTGTCTTTTTAAGTCCTTTACCCATTTTTGTTTGTTTCTCTCTTT